ACAATAGGTTTATTAAAACTCGGTAATTAAATATAACCACTTGATTTTAAAATCATATGTTAGTTTAAGCCTCTTTTCTTGCTTCAAGTCATAACGCGACATTTGATAAAAAAGACAACTAAAACAATTTTTAAAAAATCATAAAAACTGTTTTCTAAGTAACTAAAGTTTAAAGTTTTATTAGCTGTATACGATAACTCCATTCATTCTTGCAGTACTCCATTCATTTAATATAAAGTTTACAAAAAAGTTGTTGTTTGCCGTTACGTTGCTCCATTTTTAATGTTTTTCTTGAATATTATTGGCGAACCTTCAAAATACTATATTTTTAAATTATAATAAACGTATCTATTTGCGCCAACGTGTAAAGATTAAGCGTGTAAGTACAGTCTTGATGTCGTTTTCTTAATGTTTACAAAACAAAAGGTTACAAGCATAGTCTCGAAGAATTTCAATGCGGTTGAACTTCCATCTGTTTTATACTTCCATGATGCAATCAAGGCATAGAACAAACTCGTAAAAAAAACAACCTATAATTTAAAACAAATCCGATTGGTTGTTAGTGGGAAACCGAAAAACTTTTTATTTATTGGCATTTAATGCAAACAAAGATTTCGAATTGAAGGTAATTTGTTTATAAAGTTTACCGCCTCTGTTTTTTAATTGTTTGCGCAATAATTTATTATTTCAGAAGGGCCCAATTAGTCCGAATGGAACTTATTAAAGGGGGTAAAAGTTATGATTATTTATGCAAAAACGACTTTGGTAGAAAAATTAACACTACCATAGGTTATATAAATCTAACGTGACATTATTGTTAAACATACTTATTTAGGTGTGGTATTGAAAATAGTAACTTCAATTTTCATAAAAAAATGGTTTTTTATGGATAATTTTCCCCAATAATGTTTGATTTAAAATTTCAAGTTACATTCATTGAAAACAAACACCAGTACGTGCTTTTATGAAAAAATCAAATTCATAGACTGATCTATAGCCAAGCCCTAAGGTACTTTATGTTAAAAATTGCATCTTTTCTAAATAAAACTACACTTGAAGATTTGTTATAGACGCATTACTTTTACCAGATTATAAAAGTAGTTAAAATAATCTTTCCATACATATCAAATATGTCATACTTTTTGATAAAAAAACTTACATATATTGTAATTGAAAAAACTTGTATTTTTGTTCGGAAAAACGTGTACCAGGCCTTAGTTGCATTGAGTATTTTGAGGTTGTTTGTCAAAAAACAAAATTACGAAAGAGGTATACCACCCATGGTGTTTGCTTTCGCCCCTATTCCCACCCCTCGTGTGTGCAAACTCTGTTAATGATTTATTGTTTAGAAACCCCTAATAAATATTAAAAACCAAAAAACTTTAGCACACACGAGGGGTGAGAGTAGATTTCAATTTTGCTAAGTGTAGTTTAAAATGGCTTCCCAGCGGGTTTTTCAAAGTTTCTAACATCGAATTAAGTAATAGAGCCTAATGTATATATATATATATATATATATATATATATATATATATATATATATATATATATATATATATATATACATTAGGCTCTAGTGTATATATATATATTTCTTTCAAAGTTTCTAACATCGAATTAAGTAATAGAGCCTAATGTATATATATATATATATATATATATATATATAAATATATAAAAAAAAAAAAAAAAAAAAAAAGGTCCTCGTTTCCTAAAATTTGCCGACTGTCATGACGACATTTGCCGACTGTCTAACCTATATCGAAAGGGGGTCCACATTTGCCGACTAACTAGGTCCAATTTGCCGACTAAGGGTCCAATTTGCCGACTAAGGGTCCAGTTTGCCGACTAAAAATCATTGATGGGGGGGGGGGGGTGTCACACCCCACCCACACCCCTATCGCGCCGGCCTTGTATATATACCTGGAACCCTCGGTTTACTAGCCGGATGTAGAATCCACTCGACCACGCTTACATTGCTATTCGAAAGAAAATTGTATTTATAGATTAATATTTTTGCATGTATAATATGTTATTATTTATTATATACTATATATAATATTTTGCATGTATTATATATCGGAAAAATAGATTTTTAAAATTGGTACCATGTTTAGGAGAGCGATGTTAATTTATGCAATTTTACACGGAACAATTGGGATAAAAAAAAACAGACTGAAAAGTACTAATTAATCAACTCAAAGAAGCTCAGAGAATAATAGACATTATATTAAAATCGTTTTGTGTTTTTTTAAATTTTGCACTCCCTCCGATCCTCCCTAAAAAAACAACAAAAACTTTTTTTAGGGGGGTGGGGGTGTACAAAACTGTTGCGTAATATTGGGGGGGGGGCTTAAAAAAGTAATATGGGTGGCATATTTTGAAACTCTATGAGACCCAGGCTCAGAATAGGCAGAGATATGCGCAATGTGATTAGCTTATTTTGAAAGAGAGGCTTTAGCGTGTCTGTTAAAATCAAAACAAAGATCTAAAAGCTTACTGAATAAATGAAATTGAATAATCGCATAAACAATTAAAAAAATTATAACAAAAAAAGTATGATTTTTCTATTAAATTTTGTTCAAAATAGTACTTATACTTTTACAAGACTTTGCAACTCAAAACATCCGTGATTTTATAATACCTTTTTAAAAACAAAGATTTAAAAAAGTAGTTTGTTTTCCTAATGGTTTTTATAACTTTAAGACAAAAAATATAAACCGAATAGTTAAACTTGACTATGATGTGATTCTCATACGATAGATTTTTATAACTGTTTTTTCATAACAGCTACATAAATTACCTGGTAATATCAATAGAATATTAATAACTTAGTGTGATTTTTTTTCACATTTATCTAATCATTCAGCGAGAAAAATATTTTTTAAAATTTCCTGATTTTTTTAGAATTCTACTCCCATTATATAATTACCTGATTTTTTTAGAACTCTATTACCATATATAATCACTATTATATAACTTACTAAAACATTTTGAGTTTGAGAATATTGCTTATTGGTTGCTATAGCTAGCCCAGGCAATTTGCAATACTCTCAAATTAAAGCAACTGCAAGCAAGAGGTGATTGGGATTATTTTAATCTTGGGTATTTAGTAATAAAAGATAAGAAAGCATTTTTGCATATATATATATATATATATATATATATATATATATATATATATATATATATATATATATATATATATATATATATATATATATATATGTATATATATGTATATATATATATATATATATATATATATATATATATATATATATATATATATATATATATATATATATATATATATATATATATATATATATATATATATATATATATGTTCTCTTAATGAGCCTTAAAATTTAAGTTAAAAAGTAACATCTTCAGAGTTCATAGAATTATATGGAACGTGAAAGCTAGTTTTGTAAAGCAGTAAAAAATTTTCTTTAAACGTTTAACTCTTTATAAATAACAAGTTGGTAAAAACATGCAGTAATGAGCTTAGAACAACCTATGCTACAGCCTAAAATTTACATTTTCATACTTTAAGTGCTTATTTAGTAATCTGGTACAATTGCATATAAACTTTGTATTGAGTATGTCTCTTACATTACATTTGATGAGAAACACATTTAGAAATCTTTTCACATTTACAACTTAGTTTATACATATTTGTCTTGATGTAGTAAATTTACTTCCAGATGGACTAACTCTTAACGTACCTCATCTTAATGGAAAACGAAGGATAGAAAAAAGAAAAATTGCACACCCGCAAATTTACATTGAATACTTAAACAGTTCATACATTCAAAACTTATTTATAATAACAAAAACACATAGCATGACAAACGACTTTGCTCTTTTTTCTAAAAATTTTTTTGTCTTCATAACTCTTTTTCCATTAAAACGTTTAACTTTCACCACTTAATTTGATTTTTTTTAATCATTTTTTTTTTCAAATACTACAACAAAAAATGCCACAATCATTTGCATTTTATTGACGCCTTATTTTACATTTATCAGGTTAACTTATTTGACTTCAATACCTTTTTTTGTTAATAATACCAGTGTTTATATGTAACTGTACAAAAAATTACTGCTCAGTAGACAAACATATAAATTTTACTTCTTTTGATAAATATTTAAATAGAGTATTAATATCCAATTGTCATTTTTACATATAAGCTAATGTAGCCTGCCAAAGTTTTTCTAAACCTTTAAAAAGTGTTAAATGGTATATGTATGAAGTTTTATTAGAGTTATGTAATAAAAAAAAACATCAGTCTCCTCAAAACTAAGGTTTTAAAGCATGAAAACAAAATCTCCTAAGAGTTCGTATATTGACATGGAACATATAAGCTACTTTTGCAATCAGTACAAATTTACTTCTTTAAAAAACTCTAATGTTCAACTCTTTATAATTAACATATAAATCCATTTATAAATAAAGTTCTTCACCAGTAGTCTAGTAAAACTGCATATAATCTTTGTATGCAAAAGTACTCCATCATTAGTCTCATACAAATGCATATTAACTACATATAAACTTTGTATTCGACTATGCTTTAAAGCCAAGAACATTATATTTTTCGAGAAAAACATTTATAGATCCTTTCAAATTTACATTAACACATTTTTTTTCGATTTCTTTGAATACAGCAACAGATAAAACTTTCAATACAACAACAGATAAAATCCCCATCGCTAACATAAACTATAATAAAGTTTATGTTGGCAATGGGATTTTTATCTGTTGTTGTATTCAAAGTTTTATCTGTTGTTATATTCAAAGAAATCGAAAAAAAAATGTGCCAATGTAAATTCGAAAGGATCTATAAATGTTTTTCTCTTAAAATACAATGTCATTTAAAAGATATGAAAATCTATTTGTACAAGAAAATTTTTACTACTAAAGATTATTAGAATATAATATAAAGAATAACGGAAATTTTCTTAAATTTATTGAATTCTTAGGAAATTATGATCCTATTATGAGTAAACATATTCAACGAATAACAAAAAGTGAAATTCACACCACCTATCTCGGAAAAACTATTCAAAATGAAATTGTTGAATTGCTTGCTAATAAAATCAAAAATGACATCTTAGCAAAACTAGAGCGAGCAAAGTACTACTCACTTATTTTAGACTGTACCCCCGATATAAGCCACATGGAGCAGATGACAGTTGTTTTTAGGTTTGTCAGTGCAACTGAATCATCTTCGGAAAAACCAGCTGAAGTCGTAGTTTCTGAACACTTCGTAACTTTTCTTGAATTACAAGACACAACGGGAGCAAATATGACAAAAGTTGTTATCGATAAGTTGCAGGAATTAGGCGTAAATCTTGATGACATGAGGGGACAAGGGTACGATAATGGAGCCAACATGCGCGGAAAATATAATGGTGTGCAAGCCAGAATTCGTCAACTAAATCCTCGAGCTTTTTTCGTTCCTTGTAGTGCCCACTCGCTCAACTTGGTATTGAACGATGCAGCTAATTGTTGTATGGAGGCTGTCGCATTCTTTGATTTAATTTAAGGCATTTATAACTTTTTCTCAGCATCAACTCACCGTTGGAGTATATTATTAAACCACCTAAGCGATCTGACTATAAAACCGTTAAGTGCCACTCGTTGGGAAAGCAGGGTCGGTGCCGTACGGGCACTTCGATTTCAGATTAGTGGAGTTTACGATGCACTAATTGAAATCGCAGAAGACAATACATTAACTACTGCACCACAAGTCAAGAGTCGCGCAGAGGCTAAGGGAATAGCCAGAAATATTTCAAATTTCAAATTTGTTTGCTCCTTGGTATTATGGTATGACATTTTATTCCAAATTAATATTGTCAGCAAAATGCTCCAATCACAGGCTTTAGACTTGTCGCTTGCTCTAGAGCATTTAAACGCTACCAAATCTTTCCTATGCGATTATCGCTGTGATGAAGAATTTGCCGCAATGGTTGAAAATGCAAAAAAATTGGCAGTTGAACTAGAAATTTTTGAAGGATTTGATGTGGATGATCCCGTACGTGTACGCAGAAAGAGTAGACAATTCCTATACGAAGGTCGTGATGAACCGATAGTATCACCAGAACAAAACTTCAGAGTATCTTTTTTCAATCGAATATTGGACATCGCAATTCAAGCAATAAATGAAAGATTTACGCAATTATCGGAATATAACGAGTTATTTGGGTTTCTTTACAATATCGGCAGCAAACCCTTAACGGATGATGAGTTATTGAAACACTGTAAGGACTTGCATTTAGCGCTTATGTCTGATGACCAATCTGATATCAACGGGGTCGAACTTTGGTATGAAATTAAAGCTATTGGGAGACGACTTGATACTTCGAATAGCGATCCAAAAAGTGTATTAACATGTATTTACACATCTAATGTTGTCGAAGTATTCCCAAACCTTTCGATAGCTCTTCGCATACTACTAACGTTACCAGTCACAGTTGCTAGTGTTGAAAGAAGCTTTTCAAAGCTGAAAATAATAAAATCCTATTTGAGATCACAAATGTGTCAAGATCGTTTAGTTGGTCTAGCTACGATTTCCATCGAAAAAGAAATTGCTGATCATTTGGACATTAAAAGATTTGATTAAAGATTTCGCAGAATTAAAAGCTAGGAAAATTCACTTTTAATTACGATTTGTTTTTTATTTTTTTATGAATGGAATTTGTTTTGTTTTTTATTTTTGTATAAATTGAGTTTTTTTATTTTCTATATTAAAGTTTGATTTTCAGTGTTTTTCTATTTTCCTTCAAATTGGAAATTATTGCATTTTTAATTTTTGCGGCGGCAAATTTGCATCTCGCCTACACATAGAAAACTGTTAAAACCGGGCCTGAAAACCTGTTAATGACACATAGAACAATTATCCTGATAATTCTTTGAATTCAATGTTTTTACTCGACAACATTATGCTATTTTATAATGGAGCCAGTACATTAGTTAATGATCTTCTTGAAATATTGCCAAATCAAGGTTTGGAACTTTCCAAAGATTCAAGGAGAATTTAAAAACACCTTATGAAAAGTGACTTATAGACAGGTTCTTGCTAATTTATATATATATATATATATATATATATATATATATTTATAAACATTTAATTACTTGAGAATCGTGTTAATATTGATATATATATTAAAATTGATACAGATATTGAAATAAATAGTTAAAAACTGGGTATATGATATACTATATATATATATATATATATATATATATATATATATATATATATATATATATATATATATATATATATATATATATATATATATATATATATATATATATATATATATATATAGTATATATATATATATATATATATATATATATATATATATATATATATATATATATATATATATATATATATATATAGAGGTATATACTTGACACTTGATATAGTATTTCAAGTATAATAATTGATATACTATATCAAGAACCAAGTTCTGACTGTTTGAAAGACTTAGACATCACAGAATCTCATGCATAGTCATATTTCTCAAAAAGAAAACCTATTAATAATACAGAGAGTTTATGCTGATAATTCAATATCTTTAATTAACAACTTTTAGATTGTTCTATTCGAAATAATTGGACCAGTACATTACTTAATGAACTTTTTGAAATATTACAATATCAAGTTTCGGAACTTCGCTAATAACCAATTACTTAACTTTAGTAATTAGTTATTAGTGAAGTTCAGAAATTTTGACTAAAAAATAAGTCTAATTGAAAAAATTAAACCAGTCATAACAGTTATATAAGAGACAGGAAGGTAGAAAATTTCCTTTACTCTAAAGGAAATTTTCTACCCACCTGTTTCTTATATAACTGTATTAACATATGAATAACCACTATATCACGTGTTGGAATGCTATTGGCAATTTACTAAGTAACCGATGAGAAACACTCCTTAATTTCTCTTCTATTTTTTTATCATCTAGGAAATTTTATTAAAGTAAATGGATTATACTTATTATTAAAGAAATAATATAGTCCTTTGATTGATTGCAAACCTATATTTCTATTGTATATATATATATATATATATATATATATATATATATATATATATATATATATATATATATATATATATATATATAAATATATATACACACAACCCTTGGAATTAAGAAAAAAAAAGTTGACAATAGTTTGTCAACATCAATCAAAAAAGCAAAAAAAAAGTGATTCAAAAGTCTTACCATTAAACATAGAAACAAGGTCAACATTATTTGTCGACCTCAAACACTTTTAGGTTGGCATTGCTGCATGCCGACCCTAATTCCAAAGGTTATATATATATATATATATATATATATATATATATATATATATATATATATATATATATATATATATATATATATATATATATATATATATATATATATATATATATATATATATATATATATATATATATATATATATATATATATATATAATATATATATATATATATATATATATAATATACTTATATATATATATATATATATATATATATATATATATATATATATATATATATATATATATATATATATATATATATATATATATATATATAATATACTTATATATATATATATATATATATATATATATATATATATATATATATATATATATATATATATATATATATATATATATATATATATATATATATAAGTAATATGGTAATTTATAATAATAATAATAATATATATATATATATATATATATATATATATATATATATATATATATATATATATATATATATATATATATATATATATATATATATATATATATATATATATATATATATATATATATATATATTAACGATCTTCCAGATATTATCACATCTAAGGTGGCATTGTTCGCTGACGACACTACTATTTATCTTGATAAAAATCTCACCTCTGCTACAGCATGTGGCTCACAATGGCTGGTGAACCTTATTTCAAATAAAACTCAATTTTTTTCGGCCAATCGTTATCGCAATAATTTTGATCTTCCTATATTTATGAATGGTAATGTACTAGATGAGTCATATACCCTTCATCTTCTTTGATTAACTTACTTTTGATCTTTCTTTTAAACCTTATATCAAATCCATTTCAAAATTAGCATCTGCTAAGGTTGCATCTTTTTATCGAGCTCGACACTTCCTTACTCTAGATTCTATTCTCTATCTCTATAAATCTCAAATCCGTCCCTGTATGGAATACTGTTGCCATATCTGGGACAGATCTTCTATTGATGCCCTTTCTTTTTTAAACAAGGTGCAAAAACGCATTGTAAACATAGTTGGACCTGCTTGTGCAGCAAATCTCCTACCATTGTCACATCGTCGTGATGTTGCTTCTCTTTCTCTTTTCTACAAATAATATAATTGGCACTGCTCTAAAGCTAGTTTTTTTCTTCGAACATCAGTTCTTTGGAATATGCTTCCTTCATCTTGCTTCTCTGATTCATATAATTTGCAACCTTTTAAGTCATCTGTCAGTCGTTATCTTGCTCTACGAACTTAATCTTTTCTTTTCCAATAACTTCCAAACTCTTATAGTGGTTGTTCGCAGCTTTGTTGGAAACGAAGATGTAATATATATTTTTTTTATTATAATTTATATATATATAAATTATAATACATAGTCTTTAATTCATTTACTTACTTAAGATTGATCATTAACTTAGGTTAAGATTGCTTTCCTGATTCCTACAGCAAAAAAAAAACTTTAAAATGCTGGTGGCAATATTTTAAAGAGTGCATCTGATCGAAAAGAAGGTGAATGACGTCAACTGTTCGAAAATTCGATTCTTAGAAATTAACAAGTGGAAGAAGAAGTTTACAAAGTTGTAATTTATAAAACTCAGCACAATTATATTATTAAAAAATTTAAATGATTTATTATTTTTTTCTTATTCTCAAGAAGTTCTGTAAAAACATAAATTTGAACCTTACGTTTAAGTAAAGCCATGTTAGAACACGTATTTTAGACGTCGAAATAAGAACGTCTAAATTAGGTTATTTAAAGACGTCATTCGGCGTTTCCATTTTGCACTAGTTCTGAACGTCCTAAATTCACGTCTTTTAGACGTCTCAAAACACGTCTTTATTCCGTCCTAAAAAGACATCCTAATTACGTCTTAAAAAGACGTCATCTGGCGTTGCCATTTAGAACCAGTTCTGGACGTCCTAAAAAGACGTCCTTTCGACGTCATATGGACGTTTCCGTGCTCGCTGGGTGGAATATAACAATTTTGTACAAATGTAATTGCATTCGACGTCCACAATCAAACATCCACGAATAATCGTTTCATATGTTTTCTTTAGAAGATATATAAAGAAAATTTCAATTTACACTTTGGTCGCCTCCAAATCGATACTTGCAATAAATGTGAAGAAGCTGCAAAATTAATTCATCTTCATTGAACAAATATCATCTTTATTGAACTAAAAAGATTGCTATCGTATAACTAATACTTAAAAAAAAAGTGAAAAAAATTTTAATATGTGAAAACATTAAAAAATAATACCAATTATTCAACTGGTGAACTGTCTTTCAACTGTTTTAGGCGAGACAGCTATGAATTTTTAAGCTTTTATAATGATAAAAACGAGCAGGCAAAGTTCTGCATATACCACGCAAAGGAGAAAGTCTCGAGGCGAGGTTTGCACATTTTTGTTTGATTGTATTGAGAATGAATTGCCACCAACAGTATAGAATCTTATTTTTTTTTATGATTTTTGTGGCGGACAGAACAAAAGTCATATATAAGTAAGATTTTTAAACAATTTTTTAGATAACAAAGTTTTCCAAAACATCACGAATTATTTTCCAATCAGGGGTCATTCATTTTAACCCTGCAACCGAAAATTTGGAAACATGAAAAAGTTGATCCTCGTTTCGAGCAAGTGTATACTGCTAAGCAATATGCGGAGCTTATCATTAGAAAAAGTAAACTCAATAAATATTCTGTTAAGATGATCTTTTCCACATACATTCTCACCATTAATTTATGATGGCAAAATAGTACTTAAAAAATAGAAATTTCGATAAAACATTTGGAAGAGACATCCAAAAAAATCAAAAAAACTACCTTCTCTTCAGGATATCGAAATTTCTCCAGTTTGGGTAAAATACAAACAAGAAAATAGATATATGGGGTTACCATTAATAATTTTAGCATAGCCAATTTTACCTGCTTTGCCAGCAGTAAAGGCGTATCGATTAGGCAAAGTGCCTATCAGTAGTAAAAAAAATAGCTCATTTGAAAAATTTTGAAAAATATGTTGCCTACCCTAGTTGAAGTATTGGATGCGAAAAAAAAAGTTCACTAGAAACCGATTACATTTTTGAAACCAAAATACCTTGTACAAGTATAATCTAAATTTAGACATTACTCTGTGTTTTTATGTTCCAAAAAAATCAAAAAAACTACCTTCTCTTCAGGATATCGAAACTTCTCCAGTTTGGGTAAAATACAAACAAGAAAATAGATATATGGGTTTACCATTAATAATTTTAGCATAGCCAATTTTACCTGCTTTGCGAGTAGTAAAGGCGTATCGATCAGGCAAAG